ACGAAGATTTGACTGAAGTTTGGTTGTTTTCCTTAAACCGGAATTCTTGGACGTGGCTTAGTGAAGTTTGTCCCAAGCATAGTTGTGGTGGAGTTAGGGAGGCAGCTTTTGTGAGAGGTGTTTTGCATTGGCCTGGATTTCTGCATCGTCGCTTCTTCTCAAATATGATTTTGGCTTTTGATTTGAGCACTGAAAAGTTTCACGTGATGAATTATCCCAAAACTTTAGTTCAGTTTGCACCTCAAATGTCCTTGATCAAATATGAAGAATCCATTGCAGTGGTTACAACTGGAAGCTTTGAAGACATAGATGACGAGCAACATGAGTTGTGGGTCATGAAGGAATACGGTGTAGACAGTTCTTGGACTATGGTGTTACATTCTATTGACGAAAATGGAAAGTTGGTTTTTGATGCAAGCTTGCATGATGTGTTCGGGGTTAGGAAGAACGGTGAAGTTTTATTGACAGTGCATGGGAAGGATCGTGAAATGGAGCTAGCTACACTGAATTTGAACTGCCACCAACAGGAACATAAGCAGCAGCCGAAGCGTCTAATTGGAAATGGGAACGATTTTTATAAATTGTTTGTCGGTAGCTACTTGGAGAGCCTGGTATTACTTGACAAAGGGGAAAAAGATACCGAGGGGCAGCCTGAATCTGAATGAAAGTGAAATGACATTAGCAAGTAAGTGCAACATCTCTTCTTTTTCGTATATTTCCTCTGCAACTACTTAACTGGAACTGGTATGTGTTTGATATACTATCCTAGGAGTGTTTCTGTTTCAACTTGTGAACGATAATGTGGTCTCGTTAGAAGCCTCATGTTAATGTTCTATGGCAGACATATTTCCCTTTAATTGTCTTACACAATACTTACTTCTTATGTTAGATGCTTGTAATGCCTTTTTGTGCTATTCTGCTACGCAGTAGTTACTTCTGATATATACAATTGATGTTTGAGGTTAGTTTGGGTTTATGGAACTGCACAAGATGCTATCTAATTTCCTTAAATTATGCTATTCTCTGAATTTAAATTACCTGTTTCATTTTTATGGTTTTAAATATGCAACACTTTAGTTGTGGATAACTAACTATATCTCTACATTGAGGCATATAATATAAAAATAAACTATTTTTTCAAGCTACATTTTGAAATGGATATGATGTTATTTAACTCAAGTAATAAACTAATAACTATCATACTTCATCTACAAAATTGAATTGAAGGAGCATGTTAATTATGACCAAAAAAGACTGAAACATGCAAAATAGATGTGAAAGAAGATGGCACTTTTTCTATGAAGTGCTGGGCAGAAGAGTATAAACACATGGTGTAAAAATTGATGGTATCATTGCGATTGTCATCTTGGCCTAATTTTCTTCCAAACTTGCTTTGTCTATATTCATCTTGAGCCAAGGCCTGAGGGTTAGCTCTATAACACTTCTCCCCACTTGGGTAGATGGTAGTGTGGCACTACTCTGGTGATACTCGTCTTCCGTGAGGATCAAATGGCCATGCTTAGGGCGCACTTCCGCGGCCGTTTTCCAGAGGAGGAAAAGGAGCGTGAGAAGAAGAACTAGGGTTTGGGGAAGTTTGGTGTATTATTTTGCCCTCTCATTAAGTAGTAGTACACCCCTTAAACAAAGTTCAAGAGTCCACAACCTAAAAAAATACTCCGTACTAGTTTGCTATCATGTCGGTTCAAGAAAAGCATCGAGGTAAAAAACCGAAAAGAAATCTTTGAAGGAGTTTATAAGATTGCTTGCCTAATAAAAATCTAAATTACAAGAACAATAATAATAACGATAATATTAATAATAATCAAACAAAGTCACGGTAATGACTTGGCAGCCCAACATTCCTTTTAGGACGATCACGTCTCGGCTGCCTTTCGGATCCGTCCTCGACCTCCCCGGTTTGGGCCGTTGTGTGTACCGATCGTATCATGTGGCCCCATGCCTACTAGCCAAGGCAGACCTAGTCATGTGTCATCTAGTTAGTTTGATTTTTTTAGATCAAAGTGTATAAATTTCAATCATGAAGATATACATAAAATATGCTTGTTACATATTAATCCAATGAAATGATTTTTCTAAAAATGTTTTGCCAAAATTCAATTTGTACCAATATATAATGCAAACTTGATTTAACTTATAATCAAATTCATCTATTTGATTTGAAAAACTAATTGAAGAAATACTCGGGTGTGCAGAGAAGGTATTAAGGTCTTTATTATGTACTCCCTCCGTCCCCCTGTACTTATCCACATTTAACTTTTGGAACTGTTCATCTAAACACTTTGACTCATCAAATTCTCTCAATGTGTAAGTCTAAATATAGTCATGTGTGATCTTGTTTGATTTGTCTTAACATATAGATTATTAATATATAATTTTTATAATTTTTTAATATACAAATTACAAGATAAAATGAATTAAAGAAATGCATTGGATGGTGTGTAAAAATGAAAGTGGACAAATACAGGGAGACGGAGGGAGTACAAAGAGAGATAGGCATGCCTTTGTACATCAAATTTGTGTACAAACTACCAAATTAATTAAATAAATACTCTGTGGTAAACGATATTCTTCCTAAAAACAAAGTTAACAAACTAACAGCGCCCAATGCATTTAAACAAACAGACTCTCCTGTGCCTCCTCAACCACATCTCATGTATTATTATTTCATTTCTCCGAACCGGGGTGGGGGGTTTATCGGGGGGTTAGGGGGTAGGAACCGTCAATTTTACGAACGGTTACGAACGGGGCACCGGAGTGACCCCGAGTCATCCTATGACATTAAGGTTCAATGTCATTTGAACATTCCCCTTCTCCGAAGTACGAGTAGTAAAAATACACTTTAGAAATGAAATGATTATATTATTTTAACAAACAACTAACAAAAATAAAGAAAAAATAGTTGATTAATTTGGGAAAGGAATATATGCCACAAATATCCACCAAGAACCTTCTCATATAAAGAAAGAGAAAAGTGCACCGTTTATCCACGAATTCTTCATAAATTGCACGCTTTAGTTCCAAACATTAAAAGGTGTACCAATTATCCCTCAATTCTTCCAAAATTGAACGATTTACCAATGAACATTAAAAAGTACACCAAATATCTAGTTTTGACTTTTTTATCCATCATTTTTAACTTTTGATTTATAATTAAATAAAATATATATTGCATACTAATTAGATGAAATAATTTTTTGAAAATATTTGATATAATAAATCTACTAAAACTATTTATGTACCAATACGTAATATTATTTTTATTTAATTAGAGGTCAAATATTACTAATTTTAACCCAGAAAAGATAAAAATAGATAAATACTCAAAGATAGGGGAAATAATATACATTATCTTCATGAACCTAACATACCTTACAAATTTAGGGGTTTTTAAATCATTATTTACGATAACTAGTTTTAGAAGAGAATACTGGTTTGGCCACTACCGAGAGAGAGAGAGAGAGTGATAGAATTTATTAAAATTACCCTGGAATTTACGGAGTACGTAGTATATATGCTTTCTCGGTCAGATTGGGGTTTTAATAAAACTATGTATAATTAAGGCCTAATTTAAATTTAGAAAAGACAAAGACCGTAAATTTATTTCCCATGATTAAAAGAAATTCGAAAGTATTCTAGAAATGGACAATCTAATATTGTGAATGAAAAAGAATAAAGATGAAAAGTTTATTAAGAAAAATTATAGGAGTAATACATACATACACTGATACACACACACACATCAAATGGGTGAAGAAGGGGATAATGGAGGGAGCTCCCTTCAGTCCAATCTGAGATAGAGGAAAAGGTGAAATCAGTCTCCCGCGTCATTCACTCATTCCCAGCAGCAGTCTCTTAGATAAACATCTGCTGTGTTTGAATAAATGAGTCGGGAGCTAATTCAAACCCTTCCTTGTTCGGTTTGGACTGAATGGGTCTCCCCCCCCTCTCTCTCTCTCTCTATCTGATCGCCACATTCTACCTTATTCGGACATGTTTGGGAATATCGTTAAATATTGGTGTTAGCATTTTGGATAAAATTTTAGCGGTGCAGATTATTTTAAAAAAACACTAACACTATCCGTAGATAGGTTTTTCAAAACACTAACGTTAATATCTCTAAAATTATTTTCAAACATGCCCTTCATCTTCCTCGACAAAAAAGATTAAAACAAACCTCAGATGGGAGTGCGAGAGAAATACATTTGGGATATGAGGAGAAGTTGTGAGAGATGGAGAGAGGCATCAGGTGATGTATTTATAGTGGAAGCTAAGGAAAGAACATCATTTAGCCCTGCATTATTCCATGGAAAATGCTAGGGTGCCACCATGTGGGTGCTACCATTAGTGCACCCATGCTTCGCACAGACAAACACAGACGATAATTGTCTGTGTCGCACAGACAATTATCGTCTGTGTTTGTCTATGCGAAGCATCGGTGCACCCATGGTAGCATCCATGTGGTGGCACCCTAGCATGGTCCTTGTTCAATTGACATTTTGCTTAGAGCAATGCTAGGGTACAACAAAGATGTACACCATTTGTCCCTCACCCCTTTCTCCACCATTCATTTTTATTTTATTTTTATTTATTTAATTTGTTTTAGTCTTTTGCCCATTTTTGTTATAAAAGATGGGATGTGGGACAAATGGGATATACCTATGGTAATTAACCTTTTGAAATAATGGTACCCTAATGAACCATAAAAAAAGGGTACCCTAACGAAGGATTCTAGGAAGTCGGATGTTAAAGATAGAGAGTAATTGATTTTTTTTCTCAATTTATTTTAGAACTCTTGAGATATACTCCCTCTATCCCACAAAAATATTCTCATTTTGAATAATATTTAGTCAAATTTTTAAATGCTTTGATAACAAATTGTGAGAAAAGTATATTGAATTATAAAATAAATTTAATATAATTAAATTCATCTTAGGATCTAATTTTGATATCTCAAATTTTTTAGCATTTCTTTATTTAGATTATATTTAATTTATGGTCAAAGCGTGTAACTGTTTGACAAAAAATATATCCAAATAGAAACTTTTTTGTGGGACGGAGCTGGTACTCTGTAATACTAATTCCTCGTGAACTTGAACTTTTAAAAATGTTTCATGGATGGTCCTTCTGCATTATATTAGATTTCAAGCAGGTTAATCACGTGGTAAATATACATGTTGTAACTTTATTAAGATGTCATATGTTAATGAAAAGGTTGATCGGTTGATGAAGAGATAGATTGGCCAATTTGGGCTTTGAATTTGATTACTGCTAAAGTGGAAATAATTATTAGGACTTTCGAGAGGTTTAAAATACAAATAATAATATTTGGTCCATCGATCCAAAAATATTATTTCCATTTTATTTTTAGCTTACTTTTTAAAGGATAAATATCGATAATACCATTCAATTTTAACATTCACCCAAACTAATTCACTCGTAACTTCCTAGGTTTAAGTAGAGACACAGCGTTAATTAGCAGAATTAAAAATCATTTATTTTATATTTTATTGATCTTAACTAAAATCAACAGTGATCCTATAAATCAGGACCATTTTGGATAAATAACAAACCAATGAAATTTTCTACTCATTATTCCATTAATTTTTTTCCTCAAGAGTGTAAGGTGACTCAAAATGCACTACTTGAAAAGTCGAATACTCTTTCAGTCTAAAACTTATTTTCTCGTTCATTATTCACAGGGTTAAACTTTATTCACTTTATTGGTGTATTCTCATCGTCCATTTGATATAATCATGTACTCCTGTCAATTCTAATTTTGTAAATTTTTTGATGTGATTTTGTAAGGTTATTTTAACACAAAAAAAGTAAAATGTGAGATTATTTTAAACAATTTAACCAAGATTCAAAGGGAAGGGTTTGCGTCCATAAAGTGTGGCGGGGATAGCGCGGGGCCGGCCCCAACATAAAATGATGCCAAATTTGAACGGAGGAAATGGTGATTGGACATATGAGAAGGTGGGGGAATATTTTCCTGTCGCCCCGGTCTCTCTACGTCGTTTCACTCCACTGTGTAAAGATTCCCGCTGTTTCAATTCTCATCATCACCAATGCTACTTGAGCTATGCCACGGTTACCAATACTATTTTTGTTGGTAAATACTACTCCATCCACCTTTGATTAACGTGCAAAACCCTATGAATTTTAAAATAATTTTATTTGCAAATTGTTAAGAAAATAACATATAAAAAAATTATACTCTCTTCGTCCCTAAATATTCACAACATTTGCTTTGTTAGCAGTGTCGGGAATTTTTGTTTATTTCGACATTTTCATTGATTATTTGATAAAATAAAATATTTTTGACACCTCTTATTTCGAAGAACTTTTCATGTAGTTTTTTGATATGTAAATTTTATTTTTTATTTCTTTACCAATATGTAAATAAAATGAATTGAAAAAACTTGATAGTTTGACTCAGGAATACAAATGTGGCAAATAATTTGGGACGGAGGGAGTACTACTTCCGTCCCATAAAAAAGTTCTCATTTTGACCATAAATTGGTCAAACTGTAGCACACTTTGACCTTAAATTAAATACTCCCTCCGTCCCAAAAAGTTTGTTAGATTTAGAAAAAAATGTGTCCCGTAAAGTCCGTTACATTTCTAATAAAAAACCATTTTTACCCTTTACTTTTTCATACCCTACCTATCACATCATACTTTTTTCCTAATAATCTACCCATCACATCTTACTTTTACCCATCACATCAAGGGTATTTTTGGAAGGTCAATACCAAAATATCTCTCCCTTAATTTCCTAAAAAGTCAAACCGTCCCATTCTTTTTGGGACGGAGGGAGTATAATCTAAATATAGAAATGTTAAAAAAATTTGAGATATCTAAACTAGATCCTAAGATGAATCCAATTATATAAAATTCATTTCATAATTCAATATACTTTTCTCACAATTTGTAGTCAAAGCGTGTAAATATTTGACTAAATACTATTCAAAATGAGAATTTTTTTGTGGGACGAAAGGAGTATTTAAAAACTACATCGGAAACTCTACAAAATAAGAGGTGACAAGAATATTTTATTTTATGAAATGATCAATGAAAAGGGAGAAAAACCAAAGTAAGACTAAAACATTGAAAATATACCAAAATAGAACTTTCATGTTTTTATTCCCGAAATAGGACTTACATTACCAAACATGGTCATATACATTACCAAGAAAGTATAGTAATTTGCACATGTACACTGCCACATTACCATAATGCAAAGTCACATTACCACAGTGCAAAGTCTTATTCCGGGAAAAAAACATGAAAGTCCTATTTTGGTACTTTTCTTTATGTTTTAGTTCTATTTAGGATGATTTCTACAATGAAAACACCCAAACAAATAAGAGTTATCGAGAAGCCGTAATAGTAAATAGAAAAGACTTTTTGGGATGGAGGGAGTACGTAGTTTGTTGAGCATCCTAGCACAATTGCCACTTACCCGAGTTCTCCTTCACTATTTATAAGGTCAAACTTTATTTATTTTATTACTCTATTTTCGTGTGTTATTTGATAAAATAATATAGTCGTGTCACATCTAGTTTTGTAGATTTTTTCATGTAATTTTTAAATATGTAATTTTTTACTTTTTAATTCCTTACTATTTTTTAATAAAATAATTTAAAAATAACTTCAATCAAACATCGTAACGCGCAACGAGAACTTTATTTATGGACGGAGAAGGTATGTTGCATGAATTTTTCAAATAGGTGCCGCTTCCCGTCCATGAACGTCCTGAGTCGGGTACTTGAAAGAGTCATCACACCCAAATCTTTTATAAAAAGTAAGAAAAAAATGGGCTTTTCACGCTTGCGAACCCGTCCCCTTGTAAGTTCTCATTCTCGTCTCTAGCTTGTCAGAAATCTAACTCGGGACTATTTTCTTGGCACTCTTTGATTTTGCCACGGACGGTCACGATTTTCCAGAGGGCAATGCTAGAGACACAAACATGAAATGTCTATGTAACTGTTTTTGCTCTATGTACAAATGGAGTATCCTTTTTTGGTGGATCCTACATGTCAAGGAACCAATTCAACCAAAAGCTCAAACTTGTAGTTGTATCCCAGGAATGATTTTATATACTCTAACACGCCCCTCACGTGCAGACATGCCTTTTTTTAGTCTTGCACGTGAAACTTTAATTTTTTTAAAACTGAGTAGCGGTCAGTTTCAAACTCGTGATCTTTTGGTCATTAAGGCTCTAATACCATGTAAGAAACCAACTTAACCGAAACTTCTTTGTCAATATTCATGGGCAAACTGTACCATTTTTAATGAATTTAGAAGTCAACGATGCACTTTTTTCAATTTATAATTATGTAAAACTTTTATTTTATTTATAAATTTCATTTGTTAATCTTACATCAACTTTTAAACAATTTAAATAAGAAATTAATTTAAGCAAAAAATCATAAACCGAGGTAAAAACTTTATTTTAAAATACAGGAAGTATATATATTTAAATACGAATATCATTATTTAAATCCACATCCTAAAATTGTACTCCCTCCGTCCCAAATTATAATGTCTGTTTACTATTCACATGGTCAAACTTTATTAACTTTCTTTCTCTATTTTCGTTAGCAAATTGATAAAATAAAATATTGTTGTCACTATTAGTTTTGTAAAACTTTTGATGTAGTATTTTGATATGTAATTTTTATTTTTTAATTTTATACATTTGTCATATAAAATGATTTGAAAATAACTTCAGTCAAACATCGTAAACCGAAACAAGCGTTATAAAATCGGACGGAGGAAGTAGAACCATATAAACCCCAAAGTTATTGAAAACTTCTTTTGGGCTTTAGTTTGCGTTGGATGCAGGCCATGTATGATTGGGCTTTATCCGAATAGCGTGCAGAACCGATTTCTAGCGGATTCTTGGCCTGCAAAACCGTTGACTCACACAGTTGAAAGTTTCAGTCGGAGCGAGACGACGATCGGGAAGAGAGGAGCTGCGGTGGGCGAATTTCGACTTGAATACATCTCCTTAACTATATAAATTAATCCTTTATTGCGGCGGCGGCGGTGGTAGAGTCGGTGCCCAGGCAGAGGCGCAGTGATTCTGACCGCATGGCGTACCGGCGGAGGCAGCAAATGCATAGGACTTCTGCTTCCAGAGACGAGTTTGATAGTCCGCGCAACCCTCCCCCGCCTCCGATATCAATCCCCGGAGAAAACTCGTCTTCTTCTTCGTCGGCGTCGTCTTCGCTCGCTGCTAAGGCCATCCGAGCCTCATCGGCGCATCGCGACTTCTCTCTGTCATCGGCGTATGGAGAATCTGCTGTTTCGTCTCCTAGGGATTCTAACCCCCTCAGATCTCCATATCATGCTTCCTCAACAAAGGTCCCCTCTCAGTAACTTCATTCATCTGTTGCATTTCTGAATTCTGTGTGTGCATCTGTATTTGGTTTTTTACCTTTACTTTCGAGTATCTAATGAGGGAGTGATGTATGAGTGTGATTTGCTATGAATGTGTTGTTTCGAAAATGGAGAGCTTGTCTGAACTCATTATTGCATTTTATGCAAATTTATACTGCCTACTCCATATTATGTGATCTTGTTGAACTATATACTTTCCATCCTTGGAGTGCAAATAGATAAAATTTTGAATCTTAGGCCTTCTCCTTTTTATTTTAGGAGTAGATGTCTGGATAGGCATAGACTTTACCTCCATAGCGGAAGCCAAATAAGACAACTGCAGTTAAACCAGCATATGAAGTTGGCAATAGACTTGTAGATATTCCTTTGAATTGTGCACCTGAATCCATTCATTTATTTTAGAAATGCATTTTTCCAGTTCGGTCAGATTTGTTTTGTACACATATATGTGTAGGATACATCCAACTACGTATATACTTCAATGAAAAGCTTGGATGAACCAAAACAAGGATTTTGGAGTGCACTGGCCAGGAAGGCAAAATCCATTCTTGATGATGACGATGCTGACCAACTACTGCATGAAGCTGCAGAGGGGACAACAGCACGTCAGATGTCGGATAATACAACAAGGGGTCAGGTCAGAAAGACGGTTTGAAAGCAAAAAACTTACAATCCTTTGATAATCTTTACTTCCTTGATGTCAGATGTCAACATTACTATCATTTCTTTGTGTGGTTTAGATGTATTTGGCCTTGGATATAAACATAATAACCCTAAATTATGTTGTTCCCTCCTATCACCTTTGTGATTCTCACAGCAGCGTCATGAAGGGCAAAGAAAACCAGAAAATCATGAAGTGCAGAAAGGATTGGATGTCCTTGCATCTTCACTTAATTATATTAGCGGCACCATTGGCAATGCTTTTGAGGTAGGCTTGTCATAACTTCTTTGTAGTTGTGCCATACATTTCTGATATTTCTGTCAATAATCTGCGAATTTTGATGTGATGCATCCGTCCCTGCTTTGTCATGAGTATTTCCAAAACCCATTGCAGGAGGGCCGTGCAGTTGTGAAGAATCGTACTGCAGATATTCTTCAGGAAACACGCAAGCTGCAAATAAGGAGAAAGGGAAGTACTGGTACTTCTTTGCAGAATGAAGCTTCGAATGTAATTGGAACGCGGCAAAAACCTGTTATGTGGAACCATATGCAAACCCAGCCACAGACTGATTTAAACACTCAGCTGAAAGCATCTCGCGACGTAAGGTGGCAACTGTGTATTAGTGGTTTTGATATTTATTTTAAAATGCTTATATATGAGAAATCAACAATATATTACTCCAATACGATGTTTAGTGGAAGCATCTCATCATTTATTTGGAGAATGACTGAATTGTCTTTGATATTGAGGTTTGAGTCTTTGAGGGCATATTTATAGTACGGTTATAAATTTGTTAAAGCATTTGAGGGTTGAGGATTCATATGGAACTCGGGAACTGCTAGGGAATGAAAATAAAAATGAAAGTAGATGGGAAATTAAGAGTGAAAGAAAAATTAGTTGGTAAATAAAATTTTGGTTCAAAATCAATAGATAAATTTAGAATTTTGTTTGTAATAATCTTATTCGAATATATTTCTTTTATTTAAAGGTTGGTAAAATGTAAATATAAATAAACGTAAAATCTGAAGTGTTCTTATTGAAATTTATTTTCTTTTGAGTTTTTTCAAGGCAAACCAAATAGTCCCTCTTCCCGAAAAAAGAGTCCATTTCTTGACATGCTTTTGTCCCCAAAAGGGTCTTGTTTAATTACAACACAACAACAACAACAACCCAGTTGGATCCCACTACAGTAGGGTCTGGGGAGGGTGCGTACGGAGGGTGTGTGTACGCAGACCTTGCCCCTACTTGGAAGCAGGGAGGCTGTTTCCAAGAGACCCCCGGCTCAACCTGCACAAAAAATGATAGGGTATACAGTATAGCATGGAAAAAACACCAAGTACAATGAAAAGAAAGTTCTACAAGCATTAATAGAAGATAAAACCAGCTAATTTTCATGTTTTATAATGGTTGTATTTCACTTAAAATTAAAAAGTTGTACATCAATGGAACTTGACTCTTTTTATGGGATGGAGAGAGTATTAAAAATTCATTTTCTTCCTTCCCCTACCATTTCCGGGTTCCAAAATAGCCCAAGTCATATGAGATCAGAAACTGTATATTTTGGCTATGTGGAAAGGAACCGGTCTCATGAATATATATTCTAATCTGATGCAGTTACAGTTGTAAGTCATGTGATACACTCTGCTTTGTATGTCAGGTTGCAATGGCTATGGCTGCAAAAGCAAAACTACTACTACGGGAGTTGAAGACTGTAAAAGCTGATCTGGCTTTTGCAAAAGAGCGTTGTGCACAGTTAGAAGAAGAAAACAGAGCTCTTAGACAAAGTCGCGAAAAAGGTGGCAATCCAGAAGATGAAGATTTGGTAGGCCCTTTTAAGTTTTTAACAAGTAATATGTTCATTTTTATTTGCAATTGTGTAGGATCACAAACTGGCACTCTTATGGTCTTGCTTCCATATCTTTTTGGTCGTTTTTGAGTAGGCACTTTAAGGATATACTTTGGTCCTAAAAAACTAGGGGAAAAAGATACGGTTCGGGAAGTTATTGTACTCGTAATTATGAGTATTATATTTAATGGTTGGCTTTACCATGGTATATGCAAAGGAAAATGAAATACTATTGTTTTTTCATACAAATTTAGAAATGTGTAGATTTCTTCTCTAAGTCTTAATATAATGCACGGAGTATATTAGTAAGAATAAATTTATTGAGTTCAACATATCTTTTATTTTTCTCTCTTAATCCCTATTTTTTCCTATAAAATCTTCATCAATGTTTTCCTTCCTAGTATTATTACTGTTCACTAGTGCTTTCCGAGATCCAAACAGACCCTACTAGAAATGAAACTATGCACCCTCGTACATCTGTAACAGTGACTATAGTAATCTGCAAACTGGCCTGAATATTTTTTCCTTGTGGTATTTTACGTGTATTTTTACGTAAACGAATACGTCCATTCCAACGCAAACTAGTTCTCGGGATTAATTTTACCATAGTTTAGTTTTTCTTTTTCATTTTTTTCTTTTTTCTAAATCTGAGTCAGTGAGGATATCACTATTTTCAAATTTTTAATTGGTAGATTGGTTTGGTTGCTATGTTTTATTATTCCTGTCCTTGTTTAGAAGTAATGATTATGACGTGGGTGCATATATATCAGATAAGGCTCCAACTGGAGACACTTTTGGCTGAGAAGGCAAGGTTGGGCCAAGACAACTCAGTTCTTACGCGGGAGAACCGTTTCCTGAGGGAAATTGTTGAGTACCACCAGCTCACCATGCAGGATGTTGTGTACCTGGATGAAAATAGTGAAGAAGTCACTGAAGTTTACCCTGTAAAGGTACTGCATCTATAAGTTTACCCTGTTTTGTACCCTTTTCCCTTTCCTCTGATCACACCATTTCCTTCCCAATTCCAGGTTGCAAGTCACTTGGACACCGGTGACCTCTCATCTCACCCTTTGCCATTCTCAGAGCCTTCAGAGGCTTCTGATGGTGGTGATACCTCCTGCATACCCGAACCAACAAAAAATGGTCTCGGAAGACATTCAAAGTCATTTTCGTAAAATGGTTTTTCCCCGTGTGTGTTGGGGTGGGGGTGGGGTGGGGTGGGGTGACATCTGGTTTACATTCCCATGTGTCTGTTATATACTCGAGGACGGTGGGTGGATGCACATTTGCACATAACTCATGTATTACTAAAGAAAGATTAGGTTTGAAGAGGAAAGTCCCTTTGTTATTATGGAACCTTGCAAAAGAGGTCTTTTGGAGTGTATACTTTTGAAGAGAAAAAAAGGATATTATGGGAGCCTTAATGTGGTTCTGCAAGTTGTAGGGAACATATGAATATGATGTGATACATATAATAAGGCTCACATGCCATGTTGTGTTGGAAAATGTTACTTTAATCCCAGGATGCTATCAAGTTTGACACCATGATTTCACACTGTGAAATGATTTTGAAATGGTGAGTAACGATGTTGGTGTCGTCCGTGGTGTTATTGTAGCACATTACGTTGTGTTTGTTCAGTTTGAACTGCATATATTTGTATCCATTTGAGAATTCTAACCCAAAGTTTAACTGAAATGGGGGGGATCAATGCAGGTAATAACCAGCAAAAAATAGAAACTGAAATGCCAACATAGTATCATAAGAATTTATTTATTGATATTAATGTTTTGAAAGTGAAATTTGATGTGATATAATGATCATTATGTGACAATAGATGTCTATTTAGATACTTGAAAATACTCTCTCCGTCCTAAAATTAATTTCTCATTTTGACTTTTGCAGTCAAAGTTTAAAAACTTTGACTATATATTACGGAAAATATATATTGAATTTTTATATAAATTTAGTATCAGTAGATTCATTTAAAAACATAGTTTTGAAATATATTATTTTGATAATATATATTCATATAAAAATGGAGATATTAATGGTCAAAGTACCGCATTGGAGACCGTGAAAAGTCAAATGGGAAGTTAATTTTAGGACGGAGGGAGTACCTCTTTGGCAATATATACTTTTTTTTTGAAAGTACAATTGTTGAATTTCAGGCCGAATAAGAAACAGCCACTTGACGGAAGTTTGAGGGGTTAGAGCAGACCCCGAAGGGATGCCTCATTGGCAGCCGAGAGCAGCCTATTCTATCTGTAGCAGCTTCTTCTTTCAAAGGCAAAGGCCTCGTACTAAGTTCCATGGCATGGCAAGTTGAGTTCATAACCTCGTAGGCCGGGAATGCCATCAAGAACCCTTTTCCCGACTCCCTTTACCCCAAATGTTCGTTGCGGATAATCTCTTCTTTATTTCAATGGCCTGCTTGAGTTTTTTGCTTTTGTTAACCAGAATACGAAATGAGTATGTGTTTCTCTTTTACAGCCGAATAATATATTTCTGTCTGAAGCATCAGATATGGTAATTGTAATGGGGCCTAACATGTAAGCAATCCTACTATTGTACTGGTAGGAAACCCATTCTCCAAAATTCATACTCCTTCCGTTCCACAAAACCCTTCCGGTTTTGATTTTGAGGAAAAATAAGGAAAGTGTAATTTTGGTTGACTTTCCAATTTTGCCCTGATGTAATTGGAAAAAGTAAGATGTGATAGTTTGGTTATTAGTGAAAAAGTATGATGTGATAGGTAAGGTATGAAAAAGTAGAGGTAAAAGTGGGTTTTTCATAGAAAGTGGAAGTGTTTTGTGGAAAGCAAAAAAAACGAAAGAGGAAGGGTTTTGTGGGACGGAGAGAGTAGAAAAGTTCAACCAGCTAAGACATGTTTTGATTTCTTCTCACATTCTTCTAACCATAGTTTCAAAAACCGGACCCGCCGGTTCGGACCGGGAACCGGTGAACCGGGCACCAAACCGGTCCTGTCCGTGTATTCAGACCGGCTTCAACTACGAACACCGGTTAAAACCAAAAAAAACAGCACGCCTAGGGGGTTCGAACACAGGACTGCCTAGAAGGAAGGAGCTTCTCCTAGCCATCTCAACAACAATGCTTGGTGGTAACTCTTTACAATTCGTTTGTTATATTCTTTAAGTATATACTCCCTATTATTTATTTCTACTGAAATTCAAAACTCATTGAAATAATTGATATGGAGTGCATATCACACAAATATTTTATATGTATTTTTAAATACTAGATAAAATGTTTAAAAAAATTCAAATCATTTTTATTTCTAAGATTTTTTAAATAAGTAAATTTTATGCTTTATTTAATGAAACAACTCAAATAAATTAAGTTAAATTATATATTTAGTCAAACATCAATTCTTTATTTACAAATAGAGGAAATATTATTTTATTAATCATTTATTAGTTTTTTTAATTCAATGTCACAATGTGTGTGTGTGTATACACACACACACACACAAATATATATATATATGTATATGTATATATATATATATATATATATATATATATATATATATATATATATATATATATTAAAAATGTTTGAACCACCGGTTCAACCAGTCGAACCACCAGTAAACCAGTGGCTTGACCGGTTCGATCACCGGTTCGGTTCTGAAAACTATGCTTCTAACATTCAAATACCGGGGAAGTGAATGACTGTACATATATACACACACACAGTTGGTGTTGTTTGAGCCAGTGTGTCATCTGGGGGCAATGGTGGGGACGACGCCGCTGACGAGGTCACTTCCGGAAACATCCGCCGAAACATAACCATGTTTCATTGCCGACGACGACGAGCCGGTGGCACGGTCGTGAACAGTGGCTCCCGATTCCCCCGTTCCGGCGGCGGCCGGCTCCGGTGGCATCATAGCCCGTATGCACTCCAGTTCCCTAACCACTTCTGCCATTGAAGGCCGCGAGCACGTTTCCTCGTGGCAACATTTCAGTGCCAATGCTACAAACTTCTCCACACACTCTGTGGGGTACGGTCCCATTCGTTCGTCGATCACAGAGAGTACATTGCCTGATGAATATGCAGCGTTGACCTGAATTGGTAGGGGCAATTTGGGAATCTTTAATACGGATTTGCGGCTATTATTGAAGAAAATTACAAGTTTACAACCAACCAAACAAACAGGGGATAGCTCACTATACCTCCCTCACAATGTTTTTGCCATGAGAAATGGGGTGCATTCCGGTCAACAGCTCTAGAAATACTACCCCGAGGCTGTAGACGTCGCTCTTGTCTGTGAGTTTGTTTGTTAGGAAATACTCCGGGTCGAGGTATCCCTGCAGAGAGTGACATTGTTTTGTGAAGGTGTTGGTCTTATAATATGGAATCCTCAAATCTTAATAAACGTTGAATTAGGGCTCGTTTGGTGAAGAAAGCTGGGCTGTTATGATATGAGTTCCAAAATCTGGAAGAAATGATGTGGGTTCTGAAATCTAAAATGAAAGTATTAGGAGAGATCTGAAATGATTGTTGTTAGACTTCACCAAACACTCACAAAAGGGTTCTGATATCAGGAGATATTAAATTAAAACCCATAATCCCCGGCGATCACCAAACGAGCCCTTAAGTTGCTTGCTGGTATGCTAGTGTTGATTCGATTCCACGCACAAAAAAAAAGAATGAAAATCTCCATTTTTGTCTCACCAACAGTTGATGCTTACCGGAGTACCCTTAACAACAGTAGAGACATGAGCAGGCAACTCCCCATGAAGATCGGGGACAGGAGCGAGGCGCGAAAGTCCAAAATCTGCAACTTTGGTTGCAAAGTTTGCATCCAACAATATGTTACTTGACTTGATATCTCTGTGGAATATAGGGGGGTCGGCTTCCGTGTGCAAATAAAGAATGCCCTTTGCAGAACCCAATGCAACTCTCAATCTCATCCCAAAGCTTAGAGCTTCTTTCGATTTAGCTGTAATATCATAAAACCCACTGGTTGACATTAATGGCACAAGATTATGTTACAAGTTATAAGGGAGAAAAACTTTGGGAACAATAGCTTACCAGATATATGATCTCTCAAACTGCCGTTTGACATGAATTCGTATACCAATATCTGAATGTGAAGCACATAAGATGATGTAAGAAATCATCGCGTACACTTTAAAGTCAGTGGCTCTAGAACCCCTATGTATGTCGGAACGGGTCTAAGGGCCACTGGCCAGACCCAAACACACCCCCAACCCCTTCAACTTCATCCTCAAATTTAGTTGACTTTTTGGTCAAACAATTTGAACCCGAAGTCAACTAAATCTGGGGGATGAAATCGATGGGGTTGAAATGGTATAGTTGTTCGCTTTAGAGTATAAGTTACCAATTGAAAGTTACCTGTTCACCTTCCTCTCCACAGTAACCAAGTAAAGACACAAGGTTTCTGTGATGCAGCCTGGACAATAGTTTAATTTCAGTAAGGAACTCTCTTTCACCCTGCAACGATCCCGGTTCAGCGCGTTTGATCGCCACAGCTGTCCCATCTGCTAAGACACCTCTGTAAACTTTTCCATACCCTCCCTGCCCAGCAATGCTTGAGCTGTTGAAATTCTTTGTTGCTGCTGTCATTTCTTCAAAACCAAACTCTTTTACACCGTCAATTTTGATGGAGATCTTTGACACTACAAAAAAAAACTAATGAGTTGAGTTGAGTGGTTTAAAGTATAAAAAAATATCCAAGAAAAGCTATGCTTAGTAAAGTAAAACCCACTCTGGCTTTTTTTGGATAGTAAACGATATCTCTGCATATGAAATCTTAGAATGAGAATTGACAAGAAGGCAGAGAGTGTAACTGCACCGCCAATTGACCCTAGTATAATGCCGGCAAGAGCTCCCTTGCTTAAGCCAGATGATGAAGCTGGAGGAGGGATGTCTGAGAGAACCACAACATCAAACAAACAAACCCAGTAAGGTACCACAGGAGGGAAAAATACATTTAAAAAAAATGATAAGGTGACATACAATTTGAATAGCCTCCCAGAAGGATGAACCCAAGAAGTTCATAAGGTCCAAAAAGATCATTATCAGGTATCAACCATCCGGTAAACAAGCTCATAATCCGTAAAACTTCGCTCTTGTTGAATTCACTAGAACTGTTATTGTCAACAAAGATTGGGTAAAACTGGAAGACCATCTTCAACCGAGGGCCCGGTTCCCACGTAATGGTAGAAATATTAACTTGTGAGAGGTTCAGCTTAAGACCATCACTCAAGTACCACTCATACTCGTTCTTGTATGGCAGGAAATTGCGGAATCCCGGACTCTTTAACCTATACCTAACAATCAGAGGTAAAACACAAAAGCAAGTGGGACGCGGCATGGCATATACGTAGGGCGGGGGGCACCCCAATGGGGGACAGTCATTGGCTTTATCTGAGCCTGTGTTGTCAGTTCCATCACCAGAAGAACCACCACAAACTCCAGTTAGGTTTCCTTTTGAACACACAGGGTTTCCTTGGAACCTAAAGTATCAAACCAAAAAATTAATAAAAGATTAAAAAAATACATCGCCTAGTATTGCGCTGTAATGTAGTTGATTCACTTGCAAGGGAATCAATAAGGAATAATATACTCCCTCCGTCTCATATATTTCTTCTCGTTTTGGCTTTTGCACGCTTTTTAATGCAAGATGAAAACTGTTTGACTTTCCATATTTGCCCTTGGTTGTGTAATAAATTAAATAGTTCAAAAGTTAAGGTAAATTAGTTTTTTTTGTCGTAAAGAAGGTGAATAGTCTTTCCATTCAAGGAACGGGGAAGACGAAAACGGAAAGAATGATATAGGTACTGATCTACGAGCTAGGGCTTTTTGATAAGATGATTCCACAACATTAAAGAAATAGTTTGTAAATGGTTAAAGAGTATAGTAGTCCCAAACCTAACATCAACATTTTTGGGGATAAGCAAACTGCCTGATATATTGGAAACTGCATTGTTCTGAAAGTCTCTGTCATGCAAAAGAAAAACATGATTTAATTCATTAATTGATCTGAATGCTAGAGTAACTGAGCATTAAACGAAGATTACTAGTAAGAGGACGTGAGAAAGCAGAAATGCGTGAGTTTCAGGTCTTACATGAAGAGTTTCTCGGTTCGATTGAGAACCCTATTTTGCCAAATAATGGATGGTACAGAACCACTTAATGAATTGTTCGC